ATGGCAACAAGTGAATTCAGCACAGTAACTTACTCTCACAAAGAGCTTCCCACTCACGACAGAAAGACACCGCTGAGGTAGAAAAAGGTGGAAAGGAGTTCGTTTGCTCTGAATGAGGCACGGAGCTGGAGGAATGGTGGGGTACATGACAGGAGAATCGTAATTTGTTGCACCGGCAGGCGTGGCGAGCTTGCAAGAGAGCCATGCGAAATCCGAATTTGAATATCGAAGGGACAGAAAAGGGTGGTACCGAAGCGCGCTAGTGGTAAAATCGCGACGCGACCGCGCGATGATTGCTAAGGATGCTGAGGTTTGGGAGGCGGGCAAGGGAGTCGTAAATTGCCGCTTCGTCGTGCGCGGCAATGGGCGCAACGTTTCCTCAGCTTGCATACCCTTTTGACTGGATTTCACCTAGGCAAGAACATGAAACACTTATTTCATTTTTGGTCATACATTGTCTATTTCCGAACAACACCTAAAATCGTCGTCATTAGCGGGCGCCATGTCGCACGCGATGCCCACTGGCGCGGCGAATTAAGATTCTTTTTCCACGTATGAGGTGTTTTGACGCTACATATCGTTAGTCATGACAGCAATAGATGGCGTATGAAATAGCCACAAACACGTGAAATGTTTATGTTAATCAACAAATAAGTAAACAAAAATAAAACATGTGCGAAAAATGAAAAAAATTGAGTAAGGATTTCTCCCCAGGATATTCGCTGGAAAGTGAAGCGCAGTTTACATTCATCGCGCCCTTCGCCGCGTGACGCCCACACTGAGAATTTCCCGCGCTCATCGTCCCGCGCTCATCGTGCTCCGCGCTCAGCAAATTGCGATTTTCTTGTCCGTCTCCCGACTGAGGAGCATTTCAGTTGTACTGATTGCTTTAGAAGTGATGACAGTTGCTTTCTACAGGCTTTGGCCAGCCATTTCGTGGCTCACAAGATTTCACAAGTCTCCGCTTGATGGCTCAACATGTCGATGGGAAGTAGCAAAAAAGCAAAGCGCTCCCCTCTCCCCACCTCCCGGTCGCCAAGCTGCCCGGTACCTTCCATGGCACAGCTTTGATATATGTAATTATATATACCCTAATTTCAGATTAAAATATGTAGGGAAGGCAGAAATTTGCTGCTGTCTAGCGCAACTTTTCGTGCACGCTGTCGCGTGCGTCACTGTGATCTTGCCAATGAATGCGCCTTATACCCCAGAAAATAAGGTATTGTAATGAACAAAAAATAACTCTAGTGCAACGGAATCATCTCGGTGGTTAGTGATTACTAGGAATGGCCACGCTTCTGTTAATACGACGGTATTGTTGAAGTGGCTGCTATGGAACAGACAACTGTGCATTATGGGCCATCGCCCAAACGACGTGTGAAAAAGAATTCCGATAGTGTCATTGCTTTCAGAGATTGCTTTGGGAGGGAGGAGTCTCATTGTTCATTGGCAATCTGATCCAAGCGACGGTGAAAGAACCAGTTCTGCTGCTGTGTCGTTGTGCTGCAGCCTAGGAACACCTACCCATCTCGAGTAAAAAGAGTGCGGCGTGCCTACTAGCGGCCATGATTGGTTGAAACCTCATACTGAATTTGAGTATAACAAACTCACTTGTGAAGGAAGTAAAGCATTCGAGCGCTTCCCCGGGACGTAGAATTTTCGATGATCTTGTTCAGCCGAACCACCGAAGGACAACTAATGCCGAAGAGAAAATTCGGCGCTATTCACCTTCTGCTGCTACCGAAATCTTTTTTACCTACTTTTTGTGCCGAGTATAACATCCGCTTGGCCCGAAACCGCTTGGAGATCCGCCCCTAGGCGCCCGGTGCCAAATTACCCTAAATTATGAAATTCTCTGAAAACTTGCTCCCAGAGATAGTTTCACCTTCTGAACGCAGAAGTCTACTTATTTGGATCAAATCACTATTTGTCCGCTTTAGGGACAACTGCACTACATGCTTGTTCTGACCTCCTGGATGTTTCGTGCCAAGCGAAGTGCTAGATTAGGCAGAAAAACACGGCCAAATAAGATAGTACCCTTCTGGTTGCCTGCGATAATGATTCCTCATTTTGCTAAGGCCCAGCTTTTGCAGAGGAAGGGATTACTATCTCTAGGGGAGGGTGCAGACAAGCCAGCGGACTGCGCTGTCACGCACACTCCCTTCAATCCTTCCTTGAAGGTGAGTGGCCGAAAATTTCCAAGAGGTGTAGGATTGATACGCCTAGCAGGACAGATTTCGGCTCCCTGGACCGGCGCTGCGTTGCGCCTCTCAGCAGGAACCCTACCTCTACAGGGCCCTATCATGCTGAAAAATAACCCCGAAGCCACCAGCGCCCGCCCACAAATGTCCGACTGATGCTGATGCTCCTATCGCTTCATTTGCGAAATACAGTATGAAGCGAAGGGATTGTATGAAGCGGCTGCCATGCTGCATGGATATATGAGTACGTACATGTAACCGTATCCACCGTAGCCGTTATTGGCTTGATGCCAACGGAAAACTCATCCGAAACTGCTTTTTGATTCGTGTAGAACAAAGGCTTTTTCTGCATGTTTCTAACCACTTCACGCCGCTTTTTCGCCATTTTCCCACGATGGAGTACCTCTGCTACCATTCCGGACCGAGTACCAAAGTATCGTGCCTTATGCCTTTGATTCCCCTCGCATACAGTGCAGATGATGTTCATGTCCAGGAGGTTTCACTACCCCTGGAGACAAGCTTTCAGCGCATTTGGGCGCCAGGCGATTTTATGCCAAGCGGTTGATATTCCTGTTCAGCAAGCCGAACCACCCTCGGAAAGAATATTCCACTCAAATCTGCCCTCTCAGAAAAGATTCGTAAAAACTAGCCCGATTTTGAAAGGTTGGAAGGAGGAGGGGGGGGGGGGTAAAGGGGTAAATATTGCCCAATATTGTTATTTTCTAGGTCGAGTGCGATTGGGTGTGGTACTTTTCTAGCGCCTGTTGCCACTGAATCACCTCTTCCAATCTCGTAATTGAAAACGTGACAAAAATCGGTCGTCCCGATGCAAAGGAGAGAGAAGACGTTGAGAAGCGTTGCATACATGAAAGAGAGGTAGGATAATTCTGGCGACCAACGTAGTACAACTTTTAAGTGTCGGCTTTTTGACCAAATGACGCCCGAAAGAACTGAAATTGGTAAACGACGTCCGTACATAAGCGCCTTTTCACAGTCTGATCCGCCTCTTGTCGTACTAATCGTTCAGAAAAGTTCTTTGTTAGAAGAAAACGAAGGTTAGACATGTCGCTCAAAGACGGTAATCGCTGACTGTCTGCGGACAGCATAATTACTTGTGTATCCCAAGACTCCACTCAAACGCCGTAAAGTCCTTGCTGTGACCCCTAGACGATCACGACAGGGACCACGAATGCTTCCGCTAGAAATCCTTAGTGATGAGTGGTTATGCAAGGCAATGTGCCAGGACATTAATAAGCAAATAAATTAATATGAAATTTCCAACCACTTATAATATTCTAGTGTCGACTACCGAGAAACCGGTTCTGGACAGCCAGAAACTGGAATTGGACAAAAACAATGCAGAATCCTGGAATGGTGAAGAAGTCTGAGAGTGCCACGTTGCGAAAAATATTATGAGGAAATAATTTCAGAATCCGTTGCGGCGGAGCTCTGCAGAACCAACGAGACAGCAGAATTATTTGTTATGCGACAAGGTTGGATGTGGCCAAACATCGAAAAGGTTGCGTTCATACTTTGTGACAGCGTCCACCAGCGCCCAGCAGCGTCTCGAGGGCTGGAGAAGTACAGGTGTCGATCTAGCGACCAGCAGAGCCCACTAGAGCCCGCCAGCGACCAGCGGCGTCCAGGAGTGGAGAGCAGCGCACAGTTGGTACCCTCCTTTTGCCCCACTCTCTACCAGCAGTCTGCCACTCTCCTACCTCCCCATAGTCTACCTGTTGCTTGCTATCCTCCTATCGCGCCTTACTCTCCACTCCTGGACGTTGCTGGTAGCTGGTGGTCGCTGGTAGACGCTGCTGGTCGCTAGATCGATACTTATGGTTCTCTAGCCCTTGAGACGTGCTGGTCGCCGGTGGATGCTAGTAGACGTTAGGTCGATGTCTACACTTTCCTAGTCGCTGACGCCGCTGGACGGTCGGAACACTATTGGTCGCTGGTGGACGCTGCTGGTCGCTGGTGGGAGCTGAGTAGAGTATGAACGCAGCATAGGTCCTTCAGACGAGCCTTTCAGCGGAGGTGGGTTTCGGCGCAAAGCCAGCCCACCTTTTTCCCAATGGTCGTTGCAGCTTCGCTCGCCTAACAAATTGTGGAAAAAGGGCTAGCATGTGCCAAAACTCACGGCTTGTCGATACGCCCCGACTGACTGCAGTGACAGTACAAGTAAAGGCACCACTTTTCCTGTTCTACCACTGTATCACAGATGTGGTCACCTTCACAGCAAGTGCTGCGCTGTGGCTTCGCTGTTCTCCACTTCCTGCCCAGCAGAAGCTGAGTGATCGTAACTCATTCTCTTCTCTTTCAGATAAGAAATGAAAAAAAAATAGAACTGCGATAATGGCTATCTTTCAAGAAGTGATTATAGACTGTTTTGTACCCATCCTCAACGAAAACTCTCAGCGTTACACTCCATATCCCAGAGATGAGTGGGCGTGCCTGCGTACCCCATTTAAAGCATGCCTCTTCCTTCGATATCTTCTGTTTGATACAACTGCCACCTTGTCTTATACTGGACATAGATATGTTTGCTTGTTTGTCTTCAACGGCAAGTTCCCCACGCAAATTATATCAGAATGCAATTGCTGCAAGTTCGAATGAGGTACGCAGTCACGCCCACCGCACAGGATGCAGCAGTCAAATCTTCACTTCCTCACAGAGCAAAAACAGATCACAACAGCAGTAGTGAATTCTTATAGGTTTTGGTGAATCAGAAATACTACACTTTTTCACAAATTTAAATAGAAATTTATCACAAAACAGGAAAACAACAACAAACGTTGAGTATCACGTCGCTCTAGCAACTGGAATAAAATGGTCAAACTCGTGACTAGACTCCGGCCATGGCTCCCTGAAAAAAAAAACTGCCGAGCTTTTCTCCATTTTCTGTAGTATAATATTTTCCAGATGGATAGTTTGCTAGGCAGGGAAGTCTGTCCTTCTCTTTGGAATGTACACTCGCCATCCCGGCAGTCGACTGGCTGGGTCTGCAAGTGAGCTCCGCAAGTGCGTCGCGACTCTTGGCCCAACAAAGTGCCCGGATGACGACTGTGAGAAAAGCTAACTAACTGTGAATTTGTCAAAGGCAAGTGGCACTATAATCAACAGGGCGCACAGGGTCGATACGGTCAGCACGGAAGAACGTTCTGTTCCGGGGAACTCGTCCAAGAATGCACGTCCAGTGCCGTACAAAACAGGGAGTTTTCGCGGGTTTGTGACCGCTCAACTTCGCTTTTTCGTCATTTTCCTTTTTATATAGCATCCCTGGTACCATTTTTTAGTAAGTACCAAATTACCGTGCCTTATGCCTTGAATGGAGCTTTCAGAGCCTAACACGGAGTTAGCTATACTTGAATTTTTCAACTCACTTCCTCCCCGCGAACGTGAGATGCCGCACCCTTTCGGCTCGTTGTTCGGGTTTTACAACACTTATAAGTACTCCTATTGCCATCATTATCACAAAGCCGACTCCAGCATAACCGTAGGTGGAGATCCTGAATTTAATGTCTATTGCGACTCAGATCACTGAGAAAACCATAGTGAAGTTGGAGATGCGAAAGTGTACAACTATAAGATGCCTTCAAAATGATCAATATTCCAGAGGAAAAACAAAAAACGCTACCTTGAAATAAACATGGTGTTTGGGTCACCGTAGTGAGCATCGTACAGAGGTGGCCGTCTAAGAGTAAAATTACGTGAGCCACATCCTGCGCTGCTGAAATTTTTGCGATGACATGAGTTTACATTTCGGCTCTGCGTTGAGGATCGGCTGGGCAAAAACTTTGTACTTTTTCGTTCTAATAGGCGTCAACCTTTCTGTACCACCAACTCTTCTAGTTGAATGATGAGAATCATCCAGACAACAGCAGTGGTACAAAAGTAAATTCCTTCAACTGAAGAGGGACTTTGAACAAGGATGCAGGTGGGACGAGTTGGTACTCTTAATTGTGAATGTCATGGTGAATGGCCTCAGAGGCAGATCCTCACGCCCAACTAACCAATTCGTAAGACTTAATTACTGCCGTACTGCAGTCCAGTCCGTGTTGTCCAACTTCCGCACAACCTTAGAGGCAAGTGGCACGATAAATTCCCAAGATGTATATAGGATTAATACACCTATCAGGACAGAATTCGGCGTCCCTGAGTAGGCGCTGCGTGGCGCCTTTCCCAAGAAGGGTACATTTATGGCGCCCTATCAAGCTGCAACGTACCGACCCCGACGAAGTGTCCGCTTCCTACCACTGTTTGCAAAATTTCCTACATTTTCCAGTTTGCACACAAAAATTTTCCGTCGAGGGGGGGGGGGGGGGGGAGGAGGTCATGGAGGTCATCAGAAACCGACCACTTTCCAACTGTTTCAATTATCGGAAATGATAGTTGAATAGAACTTTGGCGACGCCACCAACTAGGGGGATAGCGAGCCAATATTATTGTTTTAATATGTTGAAATATATAATAAAATATATTGAAACGGGAAAAACCGCGAAAGGTCAACAATCGGGAAGAATTTTTCGCCAACGTGGCAAATTTTTTTCAGAGGCACATGCGATCCACCCCTCTCCCAACAACAAAATAGGACCCCTCCCTCCCTGCCCAGCCGCCTAGTATGAACCTCCCCAAGTGTTCACATAATGATGCCGTATGTACTTTGGCCGTATCTACAATCAGGGTACAGCATGGGGATGTGCGAAATGTCGGTGTGAGTACGACCCCCCCCCACTCCCCAGAGCAAAAGTACGACCCCCCCCGGGTTTGACACAACGATGCTGTACCCTGTCTACAATGGCCGACAATTGGCACGATGCCAGCGAGAAACTGAGTATGAGTCGCGTAAACAAAGGCTTTTTCACAGGTTTTCGACCGTTTTTTTTGTCAAAAAGTAGGCAAGTTGTCTTAGACAATTTCGTCCACAATACTAGCTTCAGATTGAGCTTCATGGATCCTCTACCCGTACTTGGGTATTTACGGAATTTAGCGGGGTTTCAAACTTTCAGGAGCAAACGCTTCCAGGAAACAAGTTGTCCGCTTCACGCAAACTTTTGATTTATCCGAAAGAGTTGACCTCACCTCGAATTTGTCGGAAGAAAGAGATTCCGATAAGGATCCTCGACATAATTTGCTATACAGATAATGACCATAACGATGTTAGATACGACAAATGACACTATGCAGCTCCAAAAACCTGATCGAGGAACGAACATGGCCAGCACAAATATCGCAACCATCGGGCCAGACATGGCACCCATTACATTGACGCAAACCTGTAAATGGAGTTGCTCCAAAAAACATGGCATTTGGTGGACCCAACTCCAAACAGTACCCGTAGAATCCCTCCCAGAGGTTCAGCTGCGAAAGCGAGAGCTGTTGATAAGATGCCACAAGTGACAACGATTGCCTGAAAAACCTCAGCTGTGGGCGTTGAGTTAGTCAAGAACTCATCACGAATGTCCGAAAACCTACCATGGAATTTTGAATGGAGACCTGGGTATATCGATAGAATCTATAAGGTTATTTGGCGTCAGAGCGCGCCCAACGCTATTACCTGGACCGCTCGCTTTGATAAATAAGGAAATCCAACTTGTAATACCTTTTTTCTCTTAATAATGGCTACTAGCTGGAAACTGAGGCCTTTCTCCACCTAAAGGATCTGGAATATAAGGGAGGAGAGAGCTTCACTTTTTATTTAGGCCGGGATAAGTGCACTTCATTTAATAGGTGAGCTTCTCTTTGTTTCTTTTGTTTTCATTGTTTCAATTTATATAAGTGTCTTGAAACTTTCCTACTGGCCAAACTGTTCAACTTCCAAAACATTTATAGTTTACAAGTCGAGTTCAAACAACGAAAAAAAGAAACAGGAACTCACCTAGGAATCGAAACACTAATTCTTTTATGCAACATCGAGGAGGAGGAAACTTCATAAGTTCATGTATAAGCTCGAAGAATGAAAAAAGAAACAATAAGAAACTTACCCTAAATGAAGCCCCTGCTTTTTGCTCATTTCTATCCTGAATCGAAAAAGAAAATAGAAAGGAAAGCCACTGAGTTTCTCCTAATAGCACTTGGAGCGGTCCAAGTAATGGCGTTGGGGCGCGCTTTGACGCGTACCGACGATCGCGGCGATCGCCACTGCTGTCGCGAAGTATGAACGCCGCCTTACCATTGAACCACCGCGACTCGATTCGACGTATGGGATTCCTCGCTTATGCTTCACAGCTCACCACCAAGCCTCCACCCTACTGCACCATTACAAACTTTACCTGCTCATAAGTTGCTTGTGAAATGCAGGTTGCAGTTTTGCTATCTATATTTGTAAATAACCTTATAGACTCTATCGATCTACCCAGGTCTCCATTCAAAGTTGGTAAGTTGGCGGACTTCCCTGGTCAGAAGTGAGTGCTGCTGTTTACTAGCTTTGGTATCTACAGAACAAGTGAAGAATTGGATAGTTTTTAATTTTAATTTTTAATTTTCTTCACCTTATTGATAAATGTGGCCTGATGATCGCTTATTCTTGCCATCGAGTTTCTGTTTGAGGAAATCTTCATAGATTGCTGCAGCCATACTATTCATTCCACTCGAGAGCGTTGATAGTGTGGCGGACATAATGCAGGATACGTATAGTCCAAATAACCCAGGGGTTGGCTCTGAATGATAATCGATGAATAAGTTGATTGGCCGAGAAACGACCAAAAATCCCGTGCGAAGCACGTTCTGAGGATTTGTTTTATTTATCAGTTCGCCAACATATTTTGAATGTTTTTCACAAGCAAGCTCTTTAAAGACAAGTGGCACGATAAATCCCCAAGACGTGAATCATTATTACACCTAGCAGGACAGAATTCAGCGCCACTGAGCGACGCCACCAGGCGCCTTTTCCAAGGAAAGTACCCCATTAGCGCACTATCAAGCTGAAACATACCGACCGGACGCCCACCGCGCCCGCCCGCCCACAAATGTCCGACCGATGCTGATGCTCGTATCGCTTCATTTGCGAAGTACAGTATGGAGCGAACGGATTGCTTTGAAGCGACTCCAGTGCTTCACGCACATACAAGTACATGGATCAGTCGTATCTACCGTAGCAGTTATTGGCACGATGCCAATGGTTCGTCTGAAATTGCTCTCTGAGTCGTGCAGAACAAAGGCTTATTTTGCAGATACTTGACGTTTTACTTCGCTTTTTCGCCTTTTCCCCCACTATATAACACCCCTGCTTCCATTTGACCGAGTACCGGACTGTTATGCCTCATACCTTCCAAGACAGCCTCCACGCTCAAGCAATTCCTGGCTGCCCTTCCTTGTGGAGACGAGCAAAGTATCCTGAAGTACCGCTTTGCCGCGTGCGGCAATGTGCGCGATTCTTGATTTGCACTATCCTTTCGATTGAAGCATCGGATTTCATGTAGACAAGGGCATGGTAGACATGTCTATTTTTGGTCATACATTGTCTATTCTCGACCAATACCACCTAAAATCGTCGTCATTAGCGGGCGCGACGTCGCACGCGACGCCCACTGGCGCGGCAAATTACGATTCTTTTGCCAAGTACCCCCTTCGTTGTACAACTGGCCCGGTCCTCAATCCACAAAACTTTCCAGCTTTCGCGACATCACAGTAAGCAACGAAGGCGCAGCGACGATCATAAGTGGCAGTTCTAACGTCTCCGTCTCCCTAGTTGTCTCCTCCACAAAAACTCGGAGGCTCTTTTCTGTCACGAGGTTCATTTTTTGCCCCCTATTTTTAGTTTTTTTTTTCTTTTTTCACTATTAGATGGCAATAGTGTTGAATGACGCAAAGAAAGATCATGGAGCCGGAGTGGTAGGATATAGCTTTGCTCGCATAAAACTAGCGGAGAATTCGTACACTGGTGGTGAGACTGTCATGGGTGTTCTTCAGGTGCTACAGTGTTCTTCATGACTCTTTTTTTGTTTTTTTTTCCTGGAGACTGTAGGTCTGTAAATGAACAGCACTATCCACATACGCAATCGCAGGCGTGTCTTTTAGTAGCACTAGAGGAATGTTTCAGCCATCTGTTGTGGTCTGCTGGAATATTTCTTTGCCCACACAGTAGCGGCAATTTTCAGAAACCCATAGTGAAACATTCTACCAGAAATAAAGGAGGCCTTACTGTTCTTTTGAATCACCTCTCGGTTTCTTCAGCGACTTCTTCTTGCCACTTTCGTGCCTGTATCGTCAAGTGGGTCGTGTCCCAGCGTAAACTGTCTTTCACAATCGCAGCTAGCAAAGCCTTCCTATGCTGGTGAAGAATCGCGACGTCGTGCGGAGTACGCGAGACTTCAGAGCACTAGAAAACTCTACCATCTTAGTTATACAGCTCCCATAACGCTGCCTTCATAGCGCCTAAAGAGACCTCCCGCATCACTGAAAATTCCTGTTTCAGATTGTTTACTCACCATCAATTTATTTCTGTTAGTTTCGCCAAAAGCTAGAAAAAAGGCCACTGTTCAACTACTACTACCCCAAGAAGTCAGAAACTTTTTTCGCTGAAACTCTGCCCCAGAGGTAGTTCAGGTGTCCTGGTCACGAATATAGCACTCGTTTTCGGCGCTGGCGCCAAATTGGCGCCAGTTTGGCGCCGCCACCTTTCTCACCAAATTCGGTGTAAATTTGCATAGTAGGGTTATTTGATGTCCTGATCACATATACCGCAATATTTTTCCCCTAGCTCCATTTGGCACCATTAGGCGCCATTTTAGCGCCCCACCTTTTTCACCAGAATCTATAAAAACCCTCATAATAGGGTTGTTTAATGTCCTGATCACGATTTTGACAAGTATTTCTCCATACTAGCGCCATTTAGCGCTCTTCAAGCTGAGCCTAGAGAGGGGGTGATTCCGTCTAGACCAGGCTCAGCCTAGCAGAGCGCAGATGATCGTAGTGTCTTCCATCAGCGCCAGCGCCAAAATGAATGTGATATTTGTAATCAAGATGTCAAATAACCTCCGTATACAAGTTTTCAGCGGATTTGGTGACCTAGGGTATTTTGGCGCCGGCGCCTGTGGCGCGGGCGCCAGGCAGTTTCAGGCCAAATGGATGTGATATTGTGTTCACGAGGTCGAATTACCCCTAAACCCAACTTTCAGCCAAATCTGCCCCGTAGAAAAAAGTCGATCAAGATCCGGCCTGTTTTCGGAAAATTGGGGTAGTAATAGTTGAATAGTGCCAAAAAAATAACGCCGAAAAAGAGAGAAAGCAAATGTACGACACAAACATACGTAAAATATCTCTTGCAAAAAGAATGGTGAGATGATCGGTCTCCGTGATTTCTCCCGTATCGACTGGATTACAATTGTAGAAATAGGCCAGAGAGATGAATCCGACAAATGCCACAATTGAGCAGAGGACGATGAACGGTATGAGCGTGCAATAAATGATGTTCTGTAAATCTAGTCACCAGAATTCCTTTTGAAAACACACATTTCAAAGTGTTCGGTGCACGTAACCATGACACTCAAGGGGAATCACCTGTGCTTTACGTAGCGAAGGAAGGCTTGCGTATCTTTGAACTGCCAGCTGATTGACACCGAACGATGCTAACCATGTGATGGTCCCAGAAAATAAGTTAATCCAGATGCTGTTGTACTAAATATTCAGAGCGTTTCACTGTAATACTTCCTTTTGACTTTGCTGAGGAGAGCATTCTTTAGACTGCGTTTAGACTTCACGACTCAAGTGATTCAACTCTGCGATTCTTAAAACAGATCATTGTAACCATTCGCGTCACACTACTAGTCGTTGATCCGACGTGATGGCTAATGCGATCATATTCAGAAAAAAAGCCTTCTTGACCATGAAAAAAAAGTCTTCTAGGCCATTTGCAGCGGTCCAAGAACCAGAATACAAGCGCGATTTACCGCAGTCGCGCGATTGAAACGTTTGGGTCGCGAAGTATGAACGCTGCCTCACAGTCCAACTAGTTGTGTGGTCGAGCAAGCGCTACAAAGCAGCGACAAATTAGTGATCTCTTAAGCGGCAGGACCTCATTCAGTGCTCACTATAATACTTGTAGGGTACCGAGTAGTACTGGCAGAACCCAATACCACTTGGTGCCCTGCAAGTATTGTAATGAGCACTGAATGAGGTTGGTGCTTTGTAAAACCCGCGTTGCTCACTGTAGCTTTCGACGGGCTTCAGAAAACGGCTGCCCAGCTGACCCCCACCGAGTGGCTGCAATGGGAGCAGCCCAAGAGAAGCCGCACTAGTTTGAGAGAGGCAAGCTAACTTCATTCTAGAAGCCTTCTGATGGTGAGGTTTTAAATGACGTCCTTTGTAATGAAAAATGGGTAACACGCACGTGTGGATTCCAACATCAAGTTCTCATATTTGAAGTTTAAAATAGCAAAGCTAAAAAAAGATCAAATCGATCTTTAGGTGCTCCGGATGCACCGCTTCTTGGCCTCACACTTCGCAAACCTCTTGAGCAAGTTCTGATCATTTAATGTCAATGTACGAAAATAAGCTGTAGATATTCACGAATTTGCTCCACATTGCCTAGCTATGATTCAGCAGAATTCAGTTCAGCAAGGGGACCTGCACATTTTTTTCAGCTGAATATGAAGTTCCTCATCGAAGCATTCGAAAAGCACTGACGAGTTTTTTATTTCCACCACTTTCTTTCCGGAAAAAACATCACCTACGGGCCAACCTGATATGAATGCCATTCACAGACCATTTACGGCTTCCGCACCTCTCCCCATGCCTCATGCTGTAGAATGACAGACCCTTAAAGCGACACGACTGCTGGGGAATAAGAGGGAGAGATTGCCGCCAGTGTCATCGGTGGAAGTGCTGCAGGAGGGCGCCTGGCCAGACTCCACTCCGACCTTCCACCAATGACGATAGCAGCAGCGCTCAGCGCCATCGTGCCGACTGCTTTAAGGTTTGATCTGGCTTCGATGGACTTTCTTTACTTTGGTTCAACTAAAATGTTCCTCACAGTATCAAAGAAAAGTGGGTACCTGATCAATTCTCGGATCATATCTGAACAACTCTGATGTTCTTCCACTCTCCACGGCTACGCTCCACACTCTAGCAATTCCACCGACTTTTGGATGACGAAGTCCTTGGACGATTAGCGTGAAAACTCCACTGTACATGAGGACAGCCTTAAAGGTTTGTACGATTTAACTGGTTCTGCTAAATTTCAAATGTATTGGTGCCTTTCAAATATAATGGATGGAGTTGATCAAACTCTGTCATCCATCGTGTTTGGTCTTTATCACTGAAGTCGGTTGAGTTGGGTGGGGGGTCAGTGGCGTGTGGGCTTTGGCACCCCGTGGCCGTTCCCCACAACTCACTAACTCCCTAAATGCCCCAAGGCGCAACGATCGACGGGAAAGGTCAAAATCACGCGCTGTTGACACGCCCCAGCTACCCTTAGTGAAAAAGGCTGTAATCAAATATCCACTTATTTGTTCTCAGTTTACTCAGAGACTACCTTACAACGAGATTTGCCCATTTGAAAATGACATACAAATCATGTGTATACATAATATGTAGAGGGAAAACACGAAAACAGGACTTTCATTAATTTCGAATTAAGAATGCAGAGTAATGAGCCACCACATGATTTTTGTACTTTCAAAATTATTAACCTGTAAAGAATCGCTCCACACTACAGCCTTCAATCCACCGATGCAGGTGTAAAGAGTCGTTGAGAGACCGAAAATCTGGAATTGTTTCTTTCTTCCCTTGTCACGTCTTACTCTATTGATCCCCGCAGATGGTAAGGTGTGTGGCGCGGCGCGAAGTGTTGTGCAGCCAGTGCGTTTCCAGCAAAGATGCCATCCTGAACTCGCTCCCTCTGTAGTTGGTGGGAAATCTGCCTCGCCACGCACCCGTCACACGTCCTCATCTGCACGGTTGACGACTGTACTTCCAATCGGCCTCCTGGACACAAAGTAAAAACCAGCGTCATTCTGCTATTTGGACTCCCTACGCACGTCGTTGCAGACACCCGTAACAAGGCGTAATAGAGTTGGCATATAAGTCGACTGAAGACAGCGTTAATCTGAGAGGATGCCACGGATGGGGACAAATCCCCAACACTGACTGAAGTCTTTGCTAACACCGCACTACATTTTGTGGATGTTGAACATTTAGTAAACATGTACAAAGGGTGGGCAAGTTGGGCAGCGATTTGCACCCCCGGATAAACTGCTACAATACTCCCACAGAGGACTGGAGGCTCTATGTGCATGGTTCTGGTTTTCAATAGTGCTTTGAAACAACTCACTAACACCAACCACCATTTGTGGATCTGCAGAACTGGAGAAAGCGCCACTGATGGTGCATAAATCACTATCGACATGTAGATTATAGTGAATAGAAGGAACATCAGAGAAAATAGTTGGCGAATAAGTGGAGAGTTGTACCTTAATTACAGAAAAAAAAGAATTAACAAGAAATGTATTGTTGAATAAATCACACTCCACTTTATTGAATACCGGCACATTTGACCTTGTTTTCTTGAACTGTTTCTGTGAGGCGGCGTTCAGAGTTCACAATGACGCGCGTCGACGCACTGTAATGCGCGTGGATGCGCTACAATTTCAACAGCGCTCCAATGTTGACGCGCAACGCAGCCGCACACGGAAAGCGATCGGCGCTGGCCGCTTTTACATTGAGAGGGTATGGAGGAACTAGAGCGTACTCATTCAGTCTAATATCAATCGGCACTGGTCTCTAGGGCTGCTAGGGTTTTGGAAGAGTAGAGAAAAACGACATGCTGTGTGGAGGTCACGCTTACCTTCCTGTTATCCTATACTTTCTCCTTATCCTCGAAATTACCCCCTACCCTTCCAAGAGAACTCGATAACTGGATCTTCTGCATACCCCTCCCGAAAAATGCATCTTCTCATACCCCTGGGCAAAGGACAAAGGATAAAGTCTTCGCCGTTGATCAATCACGCATTCTACTTCCACTCAGGAATCGTGGTGGCTTATTGAATGCGATGTGGCCTATACAATGACTTGCGGGGCCAGCCGATGTACAAGTCAGTGTTTATCCTCCCAGACGAATCTGGTACCAATTTACCGTTCCGGATGGTAGAGGGCTTGGTTGCCCTGGGCGGCCAGCACCGTACGAGCGGTAAGCAAGTCACTTGTCACTACACCACCTGCTCCACTTTGGATTGTTCTAATTGTTTGGATGATCGAATGATTCGAAATAGGCTGGAACGTTCCACCTCATTTCACATATACACCAAATTCGATACAATAATTTACCTAAAGGTCCTGAATGTCATCTTTTTTTGCGCAAGTTCTTCCTTTTTAGCAAGTGAGAAGTACTGGTTCCTAAGTGATGTCAAGCCTAACCTGCCTCGAGTATCTGACTCTAGAAAAGTAGGAGAACAGACTCGCGGGGTTTTTTAGGGGGGAGTTATGAGGAGCTGTAATGAGGCCATCTTATGGTTAGGTCGTTAGAACTCCTGTTCAAAAAAGTGCTGTTTGAGAACGTTTAGGCGAAAAAACGAAATAAATGGTCTGTGCGTAACTGTGCCGGTACTTAAAGGCAGTAGTCACGATGGCTGGTGGGGGTGGGGGAGGGGGGGGGGGAGGAAAGATCACTATTGACGTCATTGGTAGAAGCGCGGCGAGAGAGCTTTTGGCCATACCCCACTCAGCCCTTTCACCAATGGCTTGGCAGTAACCTCCTGCCCCAGCCATCGTGCCGTTGTCCCTTCAATGTGAATGAAGTAGCACAGGTATAGGAGCATAATGATCGCAAGAAAATTTCCGAGTACTCTGTGTCACAATCAGATAAAGATCCAACTTCACTAACCTATGAATAAAATATTCGTGCAGGCACGTGCACTTCATTTTGTGAAATATGGGTAAAAATACTAGACAAGTAATGACAGAGGATAGTGCACCAACGACGAAATTCAACCAAATTTGGGCTCCTGAAAAGGAAAATAGTGAACTGATTGGACAGCTTGAAAGCCTACATATTATCATATTTTCGCCTATCTGACTACGGCATCAGTTCGCATTCACAGTGAACATTCACAGTGAGCCCGCTCATGTTTCCAGGTGCAATTTATGTCTACTTTTTTGGTGTTCCTTAAAGGCAGTTGGCACGATAAATCGCTATACAGGTGTAGGATTTGTACAACTGGCTTAACAGAATTCCGTGACCTCGGACAGGCGCTGCGTGAAGCCTTTTCCAAGGAGGGTACCTCTATAACGCCCTATTGAGCAACAACTTTACGTCCCAAACGCCTTCCTTGCCCGCCCGCCCACAAACGGACGACCGTTTCTGACGCTCGTATTCATTCATTTGCTGAGCAAATTATGAAGCAAAGGGATTGGTATGAAGCGGCGGTGATGCTGCATGCATATATGGGTACACATATGCAGCCGTATCTTCGGTAGCGGTGATTGGCAAGATGCGTACGGGAAACTCGTCCGAAATCGATTTACAAGTCACTGAGAACGGAGGCTTTTTCTTCGCAGGATTTTGACCGTTTCACTCCGTTCTTTCGCCATTTCCCCACTATACAGCGCCCTACTAGCATTTTAGGCGAAGTAGGAAACCATCGTTTCGTCATTGTCCCATAAATGCCGTTGAAGTCCCAGTTTAGAAGTCATCACCGTAGGTTCAAAGGGCAAACTTGCCATCAATACTTTCTGTTAAGCTACCGAAAACGGTGTTTACACTTTACAAACATGATTGATCTGCCTTACCCCATTTCCTTCTAAACTACACATGAACTCCGCCCAAAGAGTTCCACTTAATCTTCAGCACCGTAGTTAAGATTCCATCGGGACCGTATCTGTACTTGGCATGATAGTTCAAAACTCGGTCTAAAATGCTTGTAGGGCGCTACGTAGTGGGAAAATGGCGAAAAAACGAAGTGAAACGGTTGAAAAACTGCAAAGAAAGCCTTCACTCTCAATGACTAAAAAGGGACATTGGACGAGTTTCCCGTTGGCATCTTGCCAATGAACCGCTACGGTAGTACGGCTGCACTTATGTACTCATATATCCATGCAGCACCGCAGCCGCTTCATACCAATCCCTTCGCTTCATATTTTACTTAGCAAATGAAGCAATACGAGCATCAGGTACGGTCGTCCATTTGTGGGCGGGCGGGCGCGGTGGGCGTTCGGGTCGGTATGTTGTAGCTTGATAGGGCCTTATAAGGGTACCTTCCTCGGGAAAAGCATTACACAGCGAGTGCTCAGGGTCGCGGAATTTCGTCTAGCAAGGCGTATTAATGCCGACTTATCTTGGGGATTTACTGTGCCAACTGCCTTTAAGGTAGGGGTTAATCAGTACTGAAGAAGGGGAAGGTGAATGTAGTGCAGCTCCTGCGAACGCGGATCAGGCCTCCATGTACATTTAAAGGCAATGGGGAACAATTGCTGGAGGGGTCGACAGGCTGACAGTGCCACTGGTGGAGGGCCTTTGACCAGTTTGACCTTTAATCGGTGGAAGGGCTGAACAGGTTTTAGGCTAGACTGACCAGTTGGGCAGTTCAGCCGAACGCCCTCTTTCAGCCCTTCCACCGATGAAGCTGACAGTACCCCCCCCCCTCCCCAGCAATCGTGCCCAACGCCTTTAACGGTGCAGAGGCGGGCAGAGAAAAACAACGACAGTCAGAGGGTGAAATAAACGGAACTTATGAGATGGATTGTTGATTGGTGCCCCCCCCCCAATGACCTCTAGATGAAGGTTCGTAACCGATTTGCTGGAAATGACCGCTATGTCCTACTTGGGTCTAATGTCAGCTGAACTTAATGCAATCGATTCTCTCGTAAGATTAATGGCAAACCAAGAAATAGTCTAATAAATAAGGTCATCAGAAATGAGACCAAACTGGTAGTGGTAAAACGTACAAACGACTAAAGTAGAATTGAACAAAAAAAAGATCGTAAAACCAGTTCAAGAAAACTTCTTAATACCTCTTTGAAACATCTCTGCAGGAACCGCTAGCATGAGAATTCCAGACAGAAACGTGGTGAGAAGTGAGAGAGCAACTGGTATAGAAGGCATATTGTGACCACCCATCAAGTATTCGTCCTTGGCACTTGACTTGGCCAATCCACTTCGTAACAACAAGCGGCTTCTGAATCACCATATCTACGGTTTTTTTGTAAATCCACATTGTTGTTACAAATTTGTAAATTTCTGTGGTGAAACCTTTAATTTGACAACCACGTAACCCCTGTAGCATTTCGTTTACCAATTGCTCAGTTGTTCCAACGCCAACAGGCCTACGCCTACTGGAAGTCATTTAAGAGGTAAGAGGTACTATTACAATCGTCATCCTCTGTGAAAAGCACTATGCGCGCTACTGCCATAAAAAATCGGAACAATTGGTAGGCATGGGCACCTTTGCCGACGGGGGGAGGGATTTTGCACTTTCGTTGCTTCACTAGTTCTGGTTTACAAGTCTCACTCTGGTGAAACCTGTGAACTCTTGTGAAGCTGGAGCAAGCTCGTCAAGCCATCATGGTAAAACCTGTCAACTCGAGAAGAGGCTGTCTAGATGGGTCGACACGTCGATGGGAAGTCGTTGAAGTGCAAAATGCCCCCCCCCCCGGTCGTCGCCAAACAGCGCCCTAGGCATGTTTTGCTCTGAAATGACTTGATGGCTTCACAATGAGTAACGAAAGCGCTGCGAGTCGCAGAAGTAGCAGCTCTAACGCCTCCATAGCTGCCCAGCCCATCAAAACTCAAGAGCTACTTCTTGTCTATTGTTCAACTTCTAAACGTGTTTTTTTTTCGTTTTTTCACAGATAAATAGTATTAGCATTACATTATTCAAAGGAACGATTAGTGCTTCAGAGGCAGCAAGATGGCGCTTCGCTGACATAGATTGGGTCCGGACAACTCGAACCAACGGTGCTAGGGAGTCCCTAGGTGTTGTTGTTCGCTGGTTTTTTTTGCTTTTCTCTTCCCAGAAGAGTCACTCACCGAGCATAGATTTGTAATTGAACGCCACTATTCACAGTCGCGTCGTGTCTCCAAGTTCCTGCGAACTGTACACTTGAAATCCCTGAGATGCGGTAGGCGTGGCTGCGTACTTCAACCAAACGTGGCGGTGGCTGTGCTTTTGGTGAGATATTTTCATTTTGACACAATTGTGGTCATGTCTCTGTCCAACACTGAACAAGATGACAGTTGTCTCAAACTGAAATATCCACGAGTAACCCATTCTATGCCATGTTCAATGCCACGCCCACTCCGTCTCAGGGATAAGGAGTCTAACTATAAGTCAACAGCCTATGCAATTCTACTGCCAGCAGTTCGGACGAGACTTGCGTTTCGTCAACAGCGATGTAGCATTCGTCCTCCAAGATGTGAGATATCAACTAATCGGTGGACTGCCTGGAGGCCTGACTGAAGTGCACAAGCGCAAGCAGTATCGCGTCGTGATGTGTGGAATGGCGGTGTCGGTACGAAGCCCCCCCCCCCTCCTAAACTTGCTCATCCACTGCAACTCCTCTCTATCATACCCAGCATTTTCCTCAGTTTCACTAAACTTCCTAACACATTTTCCAAATTCCCCGGATATTTTTCTTCCGAAAAGAAATTGCCGTCGAGGGACTGGGCGATCGCGGAGGGTGCTGGTTTCAAGGGGAGAAGGGTACGTAACGGGTCACATAGAGAAAATAAATCGTGATACGAGAAAAACCGAGAAAAGTTAACAACCCAAAAAAATCCTCTCACCAAACAATTTTTCCCAGAAGCAAATGGGACCCCCATCACCAGCGACCAAGCACGGCCACCTTGATGGAATCCCTCTAACGATGCTGTACCTTGTGCACAACTTCTCATGGACAAAAATGCGTCGGAGACCACTTTTCTGTGATACCTACACTTAGAATTTTGTGCTATTTCGTGTCCCTGGAAGAGTTGAGAGAAGGCACCCGGGCATCACTGTTCTCCTGCTTCGCTCCCCTTCCGTGCAATTCCGCGTGGAAGTAGGCGAGCTTATCCGCGCCCACACAGCGAGGGTCGTCTTGGAGGCCACTGAACAGTTTGTCTTTAGCCTTTGAGCTTTTGTCCGGTCAGAAGTGGATTTCATGCGTGTCACCTGTCATTACAACAGGTCCACCCATAGCCACTGCCCATTGCTATCCTGTAGTGTAAAAACTAGCACCCTCCCCGAGATCTTTGTGCTTCACGGAACAGTGATGATTATACGCTCTGCCTACGTTGCTCAACAGTTATTGGCCTGGGATCTACGCGCCGATATTCTGAAGCAACGCTCTGACACGGCCCACGCTAATGTATAAGTCGTCATCCGGGCAGTTGATTAGGCGGTCAAAGGGTCGAGACGCGGCTGCGGCGCGTCACGACCGCGGCGATCAGCTGTTTCCGGCCTGGGTTTAGCCATTTTCTCCTTACTTTTCACTTTTTGGCTGTTATTAAATTAGCTGCTCCTTGTCTTCATAAGGTAAATCATCATTGCAAAAACACCTAACAAAATTGCAAAAACACTTCACCACAGAAACAAGAAAAGAATCCACGTTCTAATATACTTCATAAAGACAATAACACAACTTACCTTGAAAAAAATAGAAAATACAGTGAAAATTAGGGAGAAAATGGCTAAACCAGGCTGGAAACAGCTGATCGCCGCGGTCGTGACGCATCCAAGCAGTTGATTGGGCGGTCATAGGGTCGCGCCGCAGCCGCGTCCCAACCCTCTGACCACCTTATCAAATGCCCGGATGACGACTGTAAATGAAAACACGAACAACTATTGGTCGTTAATCGGGACATCTTTTGAGGCGTTAAAGAGAATAAGGGGGGTGGATGAAGGTTTTCTCTCGCCTCCCATTGAACAAGAAGAGACCTATACGTT